GCAGACACAGATGGTCAACCCACTGCTTACAAGGGTCCTAAGACTGGCAGTCCTTCCACAAATGGTGCTGGGAAAATGTGATGTTCATAAGCAGAAGAGGTGGAAAATTACTTCATACCTCATATAAAAATTTATTCAAAGCAGATCAAAGACCTGAAATTTAAGGTTAAAATAGAAAGACAATAACAAGTGTTGAGGAAGACGTAGAGAAATTAGAAGTCCTGTACATACCGCTGGTAGTAATGCAAAATGGGCAACTGCTGTGGAAAAGTCTGGCAGTTCCTCAGATGATCAACCCTAAGTTAGCATAGGACCCCGCAGTTCCACTATGTCCTCAAGAGAAAAGAAAACACATGTCCATACAGAGATTCATACACAAATGTTCACACTATTCATAAAAGCCAGAGTAGAGTCAAACCAAAAGTCCATTAAGGAATGAGTGGCTAAATGAAATGTGGGATATTCCTTCAATGGGGCATTATTTAGTAACAAAAAGAAAGGAAGTTCAGGTACATATCCCAAATGGATGGGCCAGAAAGCATGACACCAAGAAGTCAGACACAAGAGACCATATATGGTATGACGCTGTTTATACAAAGGTCTAGAACAGGCACACCTGTAGAGACAAACACGCAAACTCATGGTTGTCCAGCAGCCGGGCGGGGGGGGCGGGAACTGGGGAGAAATAGAAATCACTGATAAGGGAAAGAGGGTTCTTTGGAGTTAATGAAAATGTTCTAAAATCGATTGTGGTGATGGTTGGACAATTTTTTGAATTCACTGAATTCTGTTCTTATTTTTTGTTGTTGTTGTAGATGGACAGAATGCCTTTATTTATTTTTATGTGGCACTAAGGATCGAACCCCGTGCCTCACACGTGCTAGGCAAGCGCTTCACCATTGAGCCACAACCCCAGCCCTCTATTCTTATTTTTTTTTAAATTTATTTTCTTATACCTTTATTTTATGTATGTATTTTTATGTGGTGCTGAGGATCGAACCCAGGACCTCACAAGTGCTAGGCAAGTACTCTACCGCTGAGCCACAACCCTAGCCCCCTATTCTTATTTTTATAAGACAGTTTCTTGCTATGTTGCCCAGGCTAAACTCAAACTCCTGGAATCAAATGATCCTCCTGCCTCAGCCTCCCAAGTGCTGGGAACACAGGCACACACCACCATGCCCATTCATGTATACTTAAGATGAATGAATTTTTACAGTGTGAATTTTTTGATTTTTTAAAATTTTAATTTGTTGTATATGACAATTTTAATTTGTTACATATGATCCAGAAGACCCAATATGAATTATAATTCATATGACATATATGGAACACAATTTTTCATATCTCTGGTTGTACACAAAGTAGAGTCACATCCTTTGTGTCTTCATACATGTTCTTAGGGTAATAATGACCTTCACATTCCACCGTCTTTCCTACCTCTGTGCCCCCTCCCTTCCATTCCCTCCCCCTTTCCCCTATCTAGAGTTCATTTAATCCTCCCAGCATATTATGAATCAGCATCCTTAAATCAAAGAAATTACTCGGCATTTGTTTTGGGGGGATTGGCTAATTTCAGTTAACATTATATTCTCCAGGTCCATCTATTTACCTGCAAATGCCAACATTTTATTCTCTTTTAATGTTGAATAATATTCCATTGTGGATATATACCACATTTTCTTTATCCATTCATCTACTGAAGGGCATCTAGGTTGGTTCCACAGTTTAACTATTGTGATCTGTGCTGCTATAAACACTGATGTGGCTGTGTCCCTGTAGTAGGCTGTTTTTAAGTCTTTTGGGTATAAACTGAGGAGTGGGATAGCTGGATCAAATGGTGGTTCCATTCCCAGTTTTCCAAAGATTCTCCACACTGCTTTCCATATTGGCTGCACCAATTTGCAGTCCCACCAGTAATGTATGAGTGTGCCTTTTCCCCAACATCCTCGCCAATACTAATTTTTTGTTTGTATTCTTCATAGCTGCCATTCTGACTGGAGTGAGATGAAATCTTAAGAGTAGTTTTGATTTGCATTTCTCTAATTGCTAGTGATGTTGAACATTTTTTCATCTATTTGTTGGTTGATTGTATATCCTCTTCTGAGAAGTATCTGTTCAGTTCCTTGGCTCATTTATTGATTGGATTATTTGTTTTTTTTTTTTTGGTGTTACGATTTTTGAGTTCTTTATATTTCCTGGAGATTAGTGCTCTATCTGACACGTGTGTGGTAAGAATTTGTTCCCAATTAGTAGGCTCTCTATTCACCTCACTGATTGTTTCTGTTGCTGAGAAGAAACTTTTTAGTCTGAATCCATCCCATTTATTGATTCTTGATTTTATTTTTTATTCTATAGGAATCTTATTAAGGAAATTGGGGCCTAATCCGACATGATGGAGATTTGGGTCTACTTTTTCTTCTAATAGACGCAGTGTCTCTGATTTAATTCCTAGATCCTTGATCCAGTTGAAGTTGAGTTTTGTGCATGGTGAGAGATAGATTTTGTTACATGTGGATTTCCAGTTTTCCCAGCACCATCTGTCCAATGTAGGTTTTTGGCACCTTTGTCAAATATAAGATAACTGTAATTATGTGGGTTAGTCTGTGTGTCCTCTATTCTGTACCATTGATCTAATACTAGAAAAACTAGGGATAACAGAAACATATCTCAACATCATAAAGGCTATCTACGCTAAGCCCCAGACCAACATCATTCTAAATGGAGAAAAATTCAAAGCATTCCCTCTAAAAACTGGAACAAGACTGGGATGTTCTCTTTCATCACTTCTATTTAATATAATTCTTGAAACACTGGCCTGAGCAATTAAACAAAAGAAATTAAAGAGATATGGATAGGTAAAAAAGAACTCAAATTAGCACTATTTGCGGACAATATGATTCTACACCCAGAAGACCCCCCCCCAAAAAAAATTCCACCAGAAAACTTCTAGAACTAGTAAATGAATTCAGCAAAGTAGTAGGATACAAGATCAACACCCAAATCAAAGGCATTTCTGTATATCAGTGACAAATCCTCTGAAAGGGAAATGAGAAAAACTACCTCATTTACAATAGCATCAAAAAAATAAAATAAAATACTTGGGAATCATCTTAACGAAAGAGGTGAAAGCCCTCTACAATGAAAACTACAGAGTGATAAAGAAAGAAATTAAAGAAGATCTTAGAAGATTGAAAGATCTCCCTTATTCTTGGATAGGCAGAATTAATATTATCAAAATGACCATACTACCAAATGCACTAAACAGATTTAATGCAATTCCAATCAAACTCCCAATGACATTCCTCATAGAAAATAGAAAAAGCAGTCATGAAATTCATCTGGAAAAATAATAAGAGACCCAGAATAGCTAAAGCAATCCTTAGCAAGAAGAGTGAAGCAGGTGGCATGATTATACTAGATCTTAAACTACACTACAGAGCAATACTAACAAAAGTAGCATGGTACTGGCACCAAAATAGGCTTGTGGTCCAATGGTACAGAATAGAGGTTAGAGTGTGAATTTATCTGATTAAAACTTTTTTAAAATTCCATGTGCCTGGAACTAAAGACAACAGTGGCTCCTTATTCATGGAAGATATGGCCTAAGATCCCCAGCAAATGTACCAAGTACTATATGTACTGTGTTCTTTCCTATATCCATAAACTTTTTTGGGGGGTGGGTACACTGAGTCACACCCCCAGACAGGGTCTCAGTGAATTGCTTAGCACCTTGCTCTTGCTGAGGCTGGCTTTAAACTCTTGATCCCCCTCTCTCAGCCTCCCCAGCCACTGGGCTTACAGGTGTGTGCCACTGCACCTGGTTATACACATACTTTTGAAGCTTTATTTATAAATTAGATACAGTAAAAGATGAACAATAATGAAATAGAACTATAATAATATGCTATAAGAATTATGTTAATGTGGTCTGTCTCCAAATATCTTATTGTATTTACTTATTCATATCTTTACTGTATTTATGCTGCTGCTTCTTGTGATGTGAGACGATATCAAGGAAACATTTTATAGCTGTCTTTGGAATATGCAAATTACCAGCATCACAGCTATTGAACTTTGGAGCCATTAGTAAGTACAATAAGGGTTACTTGAACACAAGCACTTTGATACCACAACAGTCAATCTGATAACTGGGATGCTCTAAGTAACAAATGGGCAAGTAATATGCACAGTGTGGATATACAGGACTAAAGGGAAATTCATGTCCTGGGCAGGATGGAGCCAAACTGAATGAGACTTTATCATGCTACTCAGAATGGGAAGCGATTTAAAACTTATGAATTGTTTATTTCTAGAATTTTCCATTTAGTATTTTTAGAGTACAGTTGACCATGTAGCTGAGGTAGCTGAAACCTCAGAAAGCAAAATCATGAAAGACAAAACCAGTAAGTATGATGATACACAACTGTGATCCCAGACACTTGGGATGTTGAGGTAGGAGGATATGCTTAAGGCCAGTCTGGGCAACTTAGGGAAACCCTGTTTCAAAATAAAATATTTACAAAGAGCTGGGATACAGCTCAGTGATTAGAGTGCCTCTGGATTCAATCCCCAGTGCCACACACACACAAAAAAAAAAAAAAAAAGAAAAGGAAAGAAAAAAGAAAGAAAGAAATTAATAATAATAATATTAATTAATTAGGAAAAAGTTAATTAAGAAATATTTACAATTGGATAACAAAAATATTAGTTAAAATTCATGGGAAAAATATGTGAGACATAGTAGCGCTTTATAAAACAATATATGCATTGTTTCAAATATACTTATCATGATATAAGGTTTAAACTAAAACAAACTATGCAATTCAGTTAAGTTAGAAATCACCATCAGTGCAAATAAACAAAACAAAAATAAATAAATAAACATAATAAAAGAATAAACATAATAACATGAATCAGTATTGAAACTTTAAAAAGTAAGATAAAATAAATGAAAATCTCATTCTTTGGGAAAATGATGATATATTCTCACTCCACACCTCTTTAGTTGGCAGATAAGAAGGCCGGCAGGTGAATGCAAGAGGCTCCGCACTCCAGGCAGCAGAGGGCTGGCTCTGGCCACAGGACCACGTCCCTGCCTGGCCCGGCAGGCCCCTCCAGCCTGTTGGAGGACCACAGGCAAATATGAGGTGGCAAGAATATGCAGCACACACGTGAAAACCATACACACTTAGAGACTACATGGGCAGCACGGAAGACTCTCACAGAAAACACAATCAGGCCCACAGCACAGTATATCGATGTGATTAAACACACACACCAAACAACATGGGCCCTCACAGGAACACACGCCACAGTGACTACTGGTCAGAACGCAGACTCCAGGACCTCCATGAGGGAGAGGAGCTGCCCTGACTCACCTGCAAGCACGACCGCTGTGCCCTGCCCCGAGGTGCAGGGGAGGACAGTGGGAGAACAGCAGTGCTGGACTCGTAGCTGGACCCTACCTGTTGAGCCTCTATGCCCCCAGCAGACCTACCCCCCAACAGGGCAAGGGTGCAGCTAGAGGGCTTCCCTCTCCACAGCTGTGGCAGGGGCCAACTGGCTGCTGAGCACATTCCTGGAATGAAACCAGCAGGTGAAACTGGAATTTCTACCTCAGTACTGTTCTTAGGTGGCCTGGGGTTTCTTTCGATTTTTACATATTCTTTCATTTTTAACTTATTTTGGGAATTTCATATATATCTGAACTAGCAAGAACAGTGTAAGGGTGATAAGCCCTGAGTGCCCATTCACCTTGCAGCAGTCAGGCCTGGCCACCTGTGTTGCTCAGACTGTGTCCTGCTGGGCCATTTGGGAGTAAACCCCAGACACCAGCCCATCCCATGACCCACACTTATCTTCTAGTACCATGAACTGGTGCATGAGTCTGTCTCAACACCTGTCAGGCTTGGCAGTGTGAGTGGCAGACTTGCTTTTCCCACTGGCAGGGGGCAGGGTGGGGGTGTCTCGCTGGCATTGCCACCTGCAGACTTACTGAGAGTCCACCTTTGTGCTGCTCCACTGAGGACAAGGACTGGATGCTGTGAAATACTGATACCACAGGCCCTGGGACACACATGCCATCTCTGAATCAGAAATTCCCTTCAGGGTAGGCTTATGTCATACACTTTGTATTCAGTCAAAGATTCCTGAGGACTTAAATACAGAACTTTTTTTTTTTTTTTTTTTTTGAGGCACTAGGGATTGAACACAGGAGTGCTGTACCTCTAAGCTTCACTCCCCACCCCTTTTCAAAATTTTTATTTTGAGTAAAGGTTTCCCTAAGTTGCCCAGGCTGGCCTCAAACATGAGATTCTCCTGCTTTGATCTCCCAAGCCGCTGAGATCATTGGCGTGTGCCACCACACCTGGACAGACCAAATTTTTTACAACAAAGACCAAAATTAACCCCAGTTGCTAGAGGTGCAGCTCAGAAGTGGAGCACTTGCCTAGCCTGTGGGAGGTCTTGGTCAGTCTCCAGAACCACAAGCAAACAGAGTCGTTCTGTTGCTCACTTAATCACAACTTCTGAAATGTGAGATGACAAGGAAGCCGACATCATGTGTGCACCTAAATTACCAAACAGTTCAGTGAGGATGTCACCTCCAAACAAGAACAAGACAGGCCAGCTCTCCTGACAAGAACTGCCCCTCCGTTCCTCACCATGGCCAGGACCTGTCCAGGGTCAGCTGAGCTCAGTGGTATAAGACTCGGGGATCTGCAGATGTGCAGGTTCGCAGCTTTCTTCTTTTAACTCAGAGACCTAATGTGGCTACCAACCTTTTAGCTTTACCAAGCAAAAAAGGGAAAGGAAAAAAGAAAAGGAGACACAAAGGAGAAAAGGAAAGAAACAAGATAAACCCACTGTCTACAATCATCTTGATTTTAGAATTTTTTTTGGTGTGTGTGTGTGTGTGTGTGTGTGTGTGTGTGTGTGTGTGTGGTGGTAGGGACTGAACCCAGGGTCTTGTGCATGCAAAGCAAGTACTTTACCAACTGAGCTATGTCCCCAGCTCCAAGAAGGACTTTTTTAAATATTAAAAAAGGGCATGCCATGGACTGGGGTTGTGGTTCAGCAGTAAAGCACTCACATAGCAAGTGCGGGGTGTTGAGTTCGATCCTCAGCACCACATAAAAATAAATAAATAAATAAAATTTCAGTTTTATTGTATTGTATCCAACTACAACTAAAAACAAACAAACAAACAAAAAAGCAGGCCATAATCTTAGGATTGAGGATGTTCTACTTTGAAAAAATGATTTAAAAAAAACTACCCTTATATTTAAGCTCATCTCACCAATTTTATAGACCAGTACTTGAGAACTCTGTTTACATTACCACTGATACTTGAAATAAAATTGGGTTACTGTGGATTGGCCATTTGCTTCACGAGCTTTATCAGTACCCTTTGCTACTGTTATGGTTTGGATGTGAGGTGTCCCCCAAAGCTCACGTCAGACAACGCAGAAGGTTCAGAGGAGAAACAATTGGATTGTAAGAGCCTTAACCAGTCAGTGAATTAATCCCGATAGGGTTGACTGAGTGGTAAGTGAAGTGATAGGGTGTGGTGGAGGGTGGGCTCTGGTTGTGGTTTGGGGTTATATAAATGGAGTCTCTCTCTGCTTCCTGATCATCATGTGAACTGCCTCTCTCTCTGCCACACTCTTCCACCAGGGTGTTCAGCTTCACCTCGAGCCCCGAGGAATGGACCTGGTCTTCTGTGGACTAGGACCTCTGAAACCGTGAGCCCTCAAATATTTTTTTCCTCTTTTATAGTTCCGCTGGTCAGATCATTTAATCACAGCAGTGAAAAAGCTGACTAAAACAGATACACATTAAATTAAAAAAAAAAAAAACTTATTGCACTTCTATCAGTCATCCATGCACTTTAAGAAACAATACTCAACAATGAAAGCACCAGGGGCACCTTTCAGAGTTCCTTGCATTGGCACAGGTTCAGCTGCAGCCGACTTCAGGGTCAGAGGAACTGGTAAACTGGTTCCAGAGCATTCTCTCAGATAGCACCTCTTCACCAAATGTCCTCATACCCAGCAATTGCATCCTACCCTCTACAGAGACACTTACAAGAGAGAAGGCTATCCTTTACTTCCCTGGATGACACAGAGGCCACTTGACACATCTTTAGAACAAGAGCTGGCTCCTGCCCTGGCTGGTCTAGGAGGATCCCTCCCCTCCAACAGTCCCTGGGGACTACCAGCACCTTCTGCACTCTTACCCAAGCCAAGCGAAAGGAACTTGAGGTTCCACTTCTTTATTCACTTTGTCAGGTGGCAGAACCATCAGACAGAAGGTAGATTTCAAACAGAAATGTTGCCCACATGACCCTATTGTTCCAAGAAAGAGCCCATCAAAACAGAACATTCTGTAATGGAGACTGTCGTTAAGAGAAAATTGGAGTCTAGTACCATATGACCTGTCAGGCCACAAAAGGACTCTTATTTTTTTCTTTAAAGACTTATAGTCAAAGTCCTGGTTTTGTATGTGACCTAAGACCAGGAACTGGTAAACTGAAAAATGTGAGGGCTACATAACCCCTCCCTCCTGTTTTCTCAGAATCTCCACCACAGAGCCGTGGTGAGGTCTGACTGAACAGAACTCTATTCCAAGGGCTGGAACAGCTCCCTGCACACTCCACTCTCAATGACCCTCAGCACAAAGAAGTGACAGCGAAGGGGCCCCCCCGCACACACTGAGGTCGGTCTTGGTGGCGCCACAGCAGTGCTGATTGCTCACCTCTCTTCCCAGCCCCACCCTCAGGGCATCAGGCTGGCAGCTGTTGTGAGCTGCCCCACAGTCCCAACTCCGCAGAACCCAAGATCTGCTTTCTGCCCCAGAGAGCAAGCTAGGCAATACTCTACTAGGTTAAATGTGAGGATTCCACCTGGTCCGACAGAAAAAGCAGCATGAGCCTGTGGGGACGAGTATCTGTGCTCAGAGGGCAAACACAACACGTCTATTCTGGGCACAGACTACTGGGGAAAAAATACCCCCCCAAAAAACAAACCCCTTATTTTAAAAAGGGGGTAAACAGGTGAACAAAAACCCAAAGTCAGAGGTAAAAAGAATAGCCACAAATATAAAGGTAAATTAAAATAATCGTGAAAGGATACTTTACCTAAGTCTACGTTAATGAATTCAAAGAAGTCCTAAGCCATCTGCAGTTGTGGAAGCACAGCCACCTTAGCCCTGTGCACAAGCGGCTCCGGCCTCTCTTGCCTCAGGCTGCATGGCTCAGAGGGATCTGCTGGGGAAGGAGTGCATGCCTGTCCCCAGAACAGACAGCTCCTTTAGGAGTTTTGACCCAGTCTTCCCTTCTCTGGGTCAAAACTCCAGGCCTGACACATAGTTAGCATCTTTTATGGATTTGCTGACTAAACAAATAAATCAATTTTTTCTCAAACCCCACAGTGCACGAGCAAGCCAGACAGACTCTGCCAGGGGTGCTTCCAGGCAGGGTGGGAAATTCCACTGGTCCCCAGCATTTACTCTCTCTGTCTTCAACAGCAACACCTTTCTTAAACCTACGTTTTCCACCTTTCTTGCAGCCATCTGTAGTTATGTGACCAAACTCTAGTCAATGACATGTGAGAGGAAGGAACTAGAACCCAAGTTCTCACTTGGCATGAGAGCTCCTGTGGTTCTTGTGACCCTTCTGTCCCTGAGAGACCAAGAGGCAGAGCAGCTACTCTGGATCCACAGATTGAGGAAGGGTGACTACCAGACCAATCTTTGTGAGAAAGAAAGGCCCCACTCAAGCCAGTGGTCTCCGGGATCTCTTTATAGCAGCTTAGTCTGTACCTTAATATAATCCAAACAACCTTCCTAACTTTTTCACCTGTGAACTAATATTTTTCAAAAAGTTCTAAGAGTCATTCAACAAGCCTGGCATATAAGTGCTCAACAAGTACAACAAGGTGCCACATAATGACATCTCAGTCAATGACAGACAGCATGTATAACCTGGCCTCATAAGATCATATCACCTAGTGATGTTGCAGCCATCTTAATTGTATAAGGGCATTCCACACTGTTTGCACACAATGAAATCACCAGGTGATGCATTTATCAGAATATATCCCAAAGCAAGCTGACTAACTC